AGACTTAAGATATGCTTGAAGTTGACAACGTTGGTAGCCTACTCCCGAATCATAAACTGATGTCTGAAACCTAACTCTAACGTATTAACCTTAGACTTAACCCCTAAACCTTACCACAGCCCTAAACCTAACCCTGATCGATAGCCCTAATCATTAATTTCTAGTTCTCACCTTAACACATAATTCCCTCAACCTAACCCCAAGCCGAATGCTAATCCTAATAGTAACACTTGAGCGAGGCGTGATGCGGAATATGTGGAAGGTACGGGAAAAAATACACCTACTCAAACGACATAAGTAGGTATGATAAAGTGGACTCGAAAAAGTATATCATCTTAGTCACTATGTGACGGTCTGGGGAGTTTGCGTTGCGAGCTTCTGGGCAAAGCGGAACTTAATTGTTCTTCTACTAGATCGGCGAAACATATACATTCATAAGTAGGTATATTATATAATAAGAAAAGGTGGGGCCACGTCCTCGATATTCACCGAGAAGCCAATTGTCAGCTCAGACATAATACACAAAGTTGATGTATCTACCTCATTGAAGACCGCTTTCCTTGGAACAACACAACGGGGACTAGTTTGTAGAAACGATGCATAGTCACGCACAGAGGTGTGCCAACCAAATGATAATGAAAATAGCGATGCTGTCTGTCAATCCTTAAATAGCTAATTTTCGAAGAACCGCACAGGTTAAATAAATTCGACTGATTCCGCAAACTACAGTCATGAGGTATTCTTTTCGTGTCAACTGTGCGCATCATTATTGTGCGAAGATCGAAAATGCCAAAGCAAATGAGAATCATGTGGTTTAGATCCTCTGGCCTCACTTTTTCGTGTTTTACATTGTGGCTTGCAGGATAAGCGCCGGCAGACGTTCATCTCATTAAAAAAGATAACGGTTTTTAATTGATCCCTAGCGCACGTAGTAGAAGACGGACGAAGAGGTCGAAAAGTGCCACGAAAAGTTGAAAGACTTACTGAGAGATTATGCGTTGGGGGATGAACATTCAGCGTGAAGGACGACAGCTCAACACGCGAAACTTGAATCGGCAGGAAAAGATTTAACTGGGCAATTCGATCCCGCAGAATCCAGCTGTCCACAGGCGACTGGGGAGGCAAAACTGAAATGAAGGGGAAGCGAAGAAACTGTTTGAATTTACGTTCAAGGCCTGCCACCCAACTGCTCAGAAATGGTTCGACACGTCCAGGCTACTCGTGTATGGAGTCGTCTATGGGAAGTTTCTTAGTTCGAGGTTTCCCTTTTTCAGTGTCCATGTATAAAATCAAAGGGCATTCATATGGTTTCTTTTTAAATTGGAACTGCTAGGCACTGCCGTTGTCTTTCTAAATGGTTTGCGGGATTTTATGTGACGGAGGGTTTGGGAAAATGAACTTGGCATGACCGCCCTTGAATTCAACACTTCAAGTGTCTGTACTTAATAACCTTAGTCTTTTCTGCGAGCCGAGTGGAGCCTGGAGAGTGTGCAGACTCATTAGTCAATTTTCTTCAGTAGTCTACTGCAGTCCAAGATGGTTAATAGCAAGGTTTAAATGCGCCTGAGCCTGCTAGCCACTTAAATCTCCTTCTAAGCGATAAGAACGGCGGAAAATCATATCTGCTTATTTCTGCTATGACACTCGCATGCTATCAAAGGCTTATTGCAGAGCAAGGTAGAAAATAGACTCACCGAGGAGACGACTGTGATCAAAGCAGGGTTTGAACTTCCGAGAACCCGTGGCGATCAGGCTGAACAACTGTTGGATACGATGCGAAGCTGGCAGGGTGAAGTTTATCATCAGGTTGCCTGCAAACAGTCTACTGAAGGTGTACTTGTTGCCCGTCACCACAGTTTCCGCCCATTCGCCTGAAATCACGGAGGGATCAGGAGTGAATATACTCCGAGGCAAATATTACCTGCATTTGACGAAGTTTAGTATTTAAAAGGGTTATATAAATGAAACATCATTTTATTTTTAGAAAAACAGCGTTCTAAGTAAGTGCATCCAATGTGAGATTCTTCACTTTGGTACGACTTGACTGATTCTGCTCTGCATGGCCCTCTCTCTATTCCTCCTCTAAACAAAACATAGACTCAAAGAGATCTTTGTGGTGGGTTTAAATTGAACCAATGAAAATGCATAAATACTCTACCTACACAATCTTAAGGTAAATACGCAGTGGGCTTAGGAGAATCGGCGGCGAAGATTACTGTAAACAACAATCCAGCGACATAAGCAACAATGACTTCAAAACCCTGAGTAGAATTCGATCTCAAATGGAGGATACAATCTGAGATATCAATTGTCTGGCGGCGCAATGATAGGGATTACGTGTCTCGACATAGTAAGATTTCCCGACGCACAGACAACCGTGAGGTTCTTATATTCCACGACTTTATGGATTACCAAAGACTATAAAGGAAAGCCCCTTACGACCTATTTTGTCCATGTACAATTCACCCTTTCAGAGATTGGCGCAATGGATAGTAAAGGAATTAGAGCTAATCCGCAATAGATTGTCTACCTATACATCAAAGGATAGTTTTAATTTTATTGACGTTATTAGTGATCAAAATACTTCAGACAAATGCATGATATCCCTGGACGTTGAGTCATTATCTACCAACGTGCCTCTGGATGAAACTATAGAAATCATTTGCGCATATTCTTCCCCGAAATATTACGGTATGTATCGCAATTGGGTACAAATGATGTGCAATTTATACTAAATGGCCAACTATATCGGTAAATTGATTGAGTCGCAATGACAAGTCCCCTAGGACCGACTTGTACTGACATATTTATGGTCCATTTAGAAGAAAAAGTAGCCACAAAATTGAACACGACAACACTCTACAGAAGATATGTATATGACGTCTTCGTGATTGTTGACAACATAAAGGAAGCTCAATTATTATTGTTTACAATGAACAGTTTGCATCCCAAGATTAAATTTACTATGGAACAGGGAAGGGAGAACCAACTTTCCTTCCTAGACATTCACATGTCCAGAAAGAAAGATAGCTCCATTACACGAACAGTCTTCCATAGGAATACGTGGAAAGGACAATACCTGCATTCCCATTCAATGGAAACGAAACTTGGTATGTACTCTCTTCCAGAGGACTACATAAATCTGCTTTATGGATATATCGGAAGCAGAAATAGCCCCCCTCAAAGAAAGTTCACTCAAGCGTGGATATCCAGCACAGTTTATAGATAAGTAGAGCAAATCCTTACGGCCTAAAATGACGGAACACTCAGTCCCGAAAAAGCCCGTCTTCAAATCCTTACCCTTTAAGGGCGACAACATTTTAAATATCATCAAGAGACGCCTACTGAACACTATTGAAAGGACATACTATGCTGCTGAACTCATATTTTGCAGTCCAACTAAGCCCTTACCAATACCATATGCGAAAGATGCCTTACTATTACAAGCCACCTCCAATTGTGTTTACGAATTTACATGCCCTTGCGGATGCAAGCACAAAGGGCGAACGCAATGGCAATTGGCAGCCAGAGCCAAGGAGCACTTGCCTAGTTGGTTATTGAAACAAGAAAACAGAACACCTCGTTCGTCGGTTGCTGAACATCTGCTAGATACGGACCATTCTGTAGACCCCAAAACTTATTTCCGAGTACTTGTTCGGGCACGAACAACTCGTATCTTACACAACCTGGAGGCGGCCTACATACGGCGATTTAAACCTGACCTATGTAAACAGCTGGAGCATATGCTGTCGTGGTAAGACCGGCTCCCTGATTACACATTTCCCTTCCAAATTTTTTACCTTAGATGTTCTTTCCCCAATTTTGCTGCCCACAGTTTTTTAACTCTCTTACGTTATCGATTAGCCTTCTCGGTCATTTCCGATAACCCTGCTGTTTGTATCGATTTTTCTGTATGAATTCAATTTTTTTATTTTCTCTTATGTTATTCATAATGAATCGATGGTTTTCACAGGGTCTTCACAATTTTTAGAAAGTGTCTATTGATCCAAGGTGACATTTGCATTGCTACAACCATTCGCATGCACCAGGCATCAGTTCAGCCGGTCCTCCTAAACTGTTGCGAATTTAAGACTGAGCCTGTGCATGAGTGAAAAGTGGACGCGTTTAACCACCGCTGTCTGAGAAATATCCTTCGAGTGAAGAACACTGACTGCGTTTTAAATAAGACAGTTCACAATCGCTGCGGCAGTGCTACGCAGATATCTCCCAAGCCATCCAAAAAAGACGATTGATGCTGTTTGGGCGCATTTTTTGTAGTCGACACCACCAAGTCAGCGTCATTAGGCTTGATTCAGCGCTGATAGCTGGCCGGACACGTCGAAGAGGAGAAAAAGTCTCAAAAATAGGTATTCAAGACAGGCGGGTGTTTCTTTAACCTTTTGTATTCGGCCTACATCGCTAGAGGAGAAAAGGAGTTGGGCGGTCGAGTTCTACTGCTGTAGACCGACATGCTTAGAGAGGTGTAACTCGTGAAATCTTCGAGACCGGCAAAAACACAGTTGAATCACGTACGTCGAATTAAGTAAGTACAACCAACTGCTGACGACTACAAAATCCCTGCATAAGTTCTCCTACAGTGCGTTATTAGCCGACTCTTATCCTGCATTGGGTGTTGCCTCATAGCAAGATGCACATCAAACCATCGACGTCAGTTGCAGAGGATGAAAAAAAAT